AGTAAATGAAGTGCAGCAGTGGACCCACACTCATGGAATTCACTTGTCTTGCCATGTTCATTATCTTTAAGTAGCTGGCTTGATTGAACAATGGAATGGTCTTCTAAAAGCCCAATTATGGTGCCTGCTAGGTGGCAATACTTGGCAGGTTTGGGACAATGTTCTCCAGTATATTGCATATGCTCTAAATCATTTTTGAATATATGGTGCAGTTTCTCCAATTTGCAGGATCCATGGATCCAGTAACTAAGGGGTGAAAATGGGAATGGCACACCTCACTACTACTCCTAGTGATTTACTTGAAAAATTTTTGCTGATTGTCTCTGCAACCCAATGCTGTTCAGGTTTGGATGCTTTTGATCTAAAGGCAGGAATATTCTCATCTAAAGACACAACATTGATTTCATTAAACTGGAAGTTAAAAAATCCCCCTGGTCATTTTGCACTTATGCTGCTGGATCAACAGGCAAAGAAGGGAATTATTGTATTGGGTGGTGTGATTGTACCTTATTACCAAGGGAAAATTGGCTTGGCATTACCTAATGGAGGTAAAAAGAATATACATGGCATCCCGGAGATACCTTAGGAGCTCTTTTAGTCCTACCATGTCCTGTGATTAATGTAAAGGTAAACTTCAGCATCTCAATTCCAACTTGAAGAAAAATATCCTAGATCCTTCTAGAAGGAAAGTTACATTGTACCACCAGGTAAAAAACCATGAACAGCAGAGGTGCTTGCTGAGGGCAAAGGGAATACAGAATGGGTAGTTGAAGAACTTAACTCTAAATACCAGCTATGGTCATGTGCTAGTTGTAGAAATGAGGACTGTAATTGTTATGAATACATATTTGTTTTGTTCTGGATGTGTGCATAAAATATTTTTGCTTTGTTCATTTGTGAATTATAAGATGTAGTTGGTGCCTGTGTATTTTTGTTTGTAAATGTTTTAATTATATCACCTTAGGGTCACATATGAGTTTACAATATAATTATTTAGAGATTGTGCATACGGTTTATAGGTGCCAAGTTGAAAAGGGTGTATTGTAATAGTTAGAATTATGTGTTAACTTGGCCAGGATTTCCAGAGGTTTAGCACTTAGGATGTGCTCATTTTCATGTGATAAAATCTAACACAGGCATAGGTAGCTCTATGGTGAGTGGCTAGAAGCAGACAATCAATTGAAGGGATGCTTCCATAGGGATGTGCCCTGCCCCCAGTACAATGGAAACTAAGGGAAAGGCTCTCTCTTCCACTGGGGACCTTGAACTCTACAATTGTAAGCCATTTCCTTGATAATAATTTATTTCTCTCTCT